ACGGCTCTGAAGCAAGGCTCTGCTGTCTGATTAGCATTTCAAAATTCTAGAGCTCATTCCTCGCAGGAACACCACCAGATCCTGAGCTGGTGGAACAGCTTGTCAGGCAGCACACATCTCCAACAGCATCAGCACCTGCTGCAGGGTGTCCAGTCCCCTTCCCACAGCCCTGACCTCTGCAGCTTTGCTTTGCTCTTTGGGCCTTTACTGGGCTCTGCTCAGCATTCTACAACCAGCTAAATCTGGGTGCTCATCACAGAAGGAGCTTGGTTGTGTTTTTAAGGCACAAGTGTGGGCAGAAGGGAAGCTTTTCATGAGTGAGCCATGCAAAACACTTTGAGAGTGGGCAGTGTGATGAGAACACCTTGCCTTTCCCTTTGCTGACTTTAGTCACACGAGCATCAGCTGTTTTTCCAGGCACAGAAAGCATGAGCACTCTGCCTGTACAATCAGTGCCTGAGGATGGACAATCTCCTTTGTGCTCTCCTTCATTCTTACACACCAATGGAGCAGCACAGGGCTGTCCAACACAAAGGATTTCATGGCAAGGCAAAACAAATAGCAAAGGAAATGGGGTAGCTGTACATATTTCAATTGCTGGAGAAGGATATGGATGAAATGGGGAAATTAAACACTTAAGCAGTAATTCACAAAACAATCCTGCTGTGAGACTGTACTTTAACTCTTTTGAAAACAAACTCCCAGATCTCACTGTGGTCAGGGCTGGCAGCAATATTGCTTGGGCTCTGCCACTGGCAGCTGGTTATCTGCACACTGAGAGTTCAGCTGCAAGTTAACTTCGATTAGTTCTTCAGAGAGGTTACCTGCTCCAAGGAAAGCAAAAGATAGGAAATGTTACCTGTGTAGCAGGCTGAGATAGCCTGAAGCAAAACTATGAAGGCTGCAGAAATGGTGCTTTGTGTACAGCCTCAGAGGGTCATGCTGCCTGCTGTTACTAGGAGCAGCCCAAAATACCACCAAAAGCATACAAGGGATATATAAAAAAATATCTTTAAGATAAGCTAATTAATGCTTTGTAACTAGCCTGTTAAAAAACATCTTCAGATTAAACTGCTTATTAAGAACAACAAGCAAAAGGGTACAGATGAAGGACTTGGAGGTTCTTATGGGCTGGATACACGTGGCAGCTTGACAATTCTACTGATCTGCCAGTCTACTAGTCCACTTGGGTAGGACATAAACATCATCACCAATGCTCTAGTCTCTGAGAAAACACTATTCTGTGTTCCCACATATTCATAGTCTTATTGATATTTGTGGGAACATATTCATGTTCTCACAAATTACATATTCTGGTAATGCTACTGGCTGTTACGTGTTTGTATCATTCATAAAAAGAACTCCCTGGTGCACATCTGCAAATTTTCTTTGAATATTGTTATGGTTTCTCTTCTGAACACATTCTGGGCAGAGGAATGAGCCCTGCGAGCACAGGAGAGCTTTACATGGAAGGGATGTAACTAAGAATACATTTCTCTAAGTTCATGCATTGGCTTTTGATCTGGGGTAAAATCTTATGTCTTCATTAACTTCTACTGACCTTCAGAGCTTACACAAAGTGGCGCCATTATAATTTCAAAATGCTTTTCCAAGTCATTTCTACTTATGGCAGAAGCCTGAAGGAAAGCATGCTAGAGATGGAGCATGCCACCAGAAGAGGCAGATTCCTCACTTACAGATGTGTCTTCATCTCACAGAAGTTTAAAAGGCCTGTGGCTTGGATGCAAAAGTTGGAAGTATGACCCTCTGAGGCAGTAGGGCAGATATTTATTATAAGGATTCCCTCTAAGGAAGCAAATCTGTCTTTAAAGATGCTGATGAAATAAAGACCAAATTTGAGAGAATGACATTTAAGGAAAAAGAAACCATTTCTGTTTTGCTAGATACCTTCAGCAGAAGTCAGACTACATACTACACCCACCAAATAATTTCCTACAGGATCCAAATCCCAGACATCTCCCCAAGCTCTAATTTTGGAAGACAATTAAGTTCTTCTCTTGTTTGGTGGTTTGTATTAATCCCCAAACCTCTGCAGTCCCGGTAACACCCAACATCTCATTTCAACCAACAACCATCCACCAGGTGTCCAATGCAGTGCCTATGTTTACCTCTCATCTTTAAGGAAGGAAAAGACATAGTCCTTCTTCTTTGTCTACCATAAAATCTAAAGAAGGATAAATTAGGGAGAATTCACCTTCCAGGAATTAGTAATACAGGACTGCACCTGACAAGATCCTGAACACACTCAATTCTGTCTTTTGGCAGAGAGACACACATTCAGCCGTGCTGGACTGAAATAAAGCACAACTCCAGTTGAATTTGCTAGGGCATCCTTGCTGGTTGCTATGGCATGTGTACTCTTAGGAATGTTTAATTCTGGCTGATAATTTTTTAAAGGATTGGCTTACTTTGTGTAACACAAACTATCAGCCATTAGAAATAAGCTCTGTTTTTTCCATTGGCTCTTCCTCCTTTCTGAAATGGGTGACATTTATCTTTGCTGTCTGGTCTTGGACTGTCCTACACTTCTCTTTTTGCATGTTTTTGTGCTTCTGCACAGAATATAATTTAATATGGTTGATAGTAGCCCATACAGTATTTCTATTTCTATAATTTGTTAAACTTATCACTTCTGTAAAGCAAATAGAGTCCTCTTCAGATGTGCAACTGTTTGCTATAAAAAGCAAATGCTTTAACAAGTATAAAATTACATATGATCCATCCAGTTTCGCTCATAGGTATTTTCAATAAAATGATTATACAGACCACCAAACAGATTTTGTGGATTCCCCTGAAGGGGCATTGAACCCCACTTCAATTCAAGTGGGCTGCATCCTGCTAAAAGCTGTAATTTTTTTTTGAGTACAAACCCAGTCTGAAAAGCACCGACCTCATGTGGTTCCTGGTTTACTGTGCCTCATTGTTTCTGTATCAAAATGACTCAATTCAGAAGCAAAAATATTTATTTTCTTTTAAAAAAAAACAAACACTAGAAGACCACATAAACTCAGCCAAACTCACACCACTCAAGCCTGAGCTCCTCTGCATGACTACATTAGCACTAGCTATGCAGGCCCTCGTTCTGTGTCCGTGCACCTCCAGCATTTCCCTGAAGTGCCCAGATCTGTGCAGCCTCTGGCTCTGCTGGCTGCACCGGGAACGGGCAGACACTGCTGCAGCCTCACCCCACCCCAATCCTTGCTGACACTTCAGCAAGCATGGCTGTACAACATGCGATTTAAAAATACCAGTAAGGTCATAGAAACTACTGGAAGCTACCAACACTGACGTGAAACCTCACAAAAGACAGAAAGCCCTAATTATAGTTTCTGAACCTATGAAGTCATCTAATACACATATGTTCCTTACACTGAAAGGAGGAGAATGGAAACATGCAGTACTTAATACCATCCTCATAAGGAGGAAAGAAAACCAGATTTTGGAAGCTTCTGGAAACCTACAATTTAGAAAAATCTGCATAAATCCAGAAAATCAGCTCTACTTCAGTTTAAAAAAAAGGTAGTACAAAATAATAAGTGCTTTGGATTTAAATATAAAAGCAATAGTATTAATTCCACAGTGCCATGCAGCACTGCAAACCTTCATACTACTTATTTTTACTGTTTTTCAGTATCAAAGTTGCCTAACATCGACCTGAAAAATGCTTTATATCTCTCCTAAATGCCCAAATGGAGGAATCTAAGGCAAGGAATAAAGATGGCACATTTACTGATTCAAGTGTCACCAAAAACATTCTAATCAGAAAACCAAAATCAAGCTTCCTCTTCCTCTCCTAGCACTGTACACCCTGTATAAAATCAAGAACAGTAGAAAGTACTAACAACCTTCACTCACATGTGGAGGACATGGCTGCAATCCTGTAATCTTAGTAGAAGGAAAATAGGAAAATACTGAGAAAGTAATCGCCATTTTTACATAATCATGTCTTAAAACAGAGCTGCACCCTCTAATGCATCCTAGACAGAGCAGACTCTAATGGTAACAACAAAATATTGCATTCAAATAGTTATGGGTGAAGAATTTAAAAATATTTCAATCCTATGTGGCTAGAAATGATTTTAAATATTACATTATTTTGCAGTTCTGTGATAAAAAGCCTTCTTATTTGCTTGAGACAAGACTTCAGAAAGCTTTAGACAGAGCAGATTTTCTTAAATTAGCTTGAAAATTCAGTTTCCAGGGCAACATAAGCAGGTCTTCATACATCAACATCTCTTTGCACCATTTTTATAAATACGGTTTGCTAGAATGTCATAAAATACTTTTTAAATACAGCAAACTATTTTGATCACTTTGATCCTTTTCTTTGCCTTTGAAAGAAAGCCGACTCTCCTTTCCTTTCAGAAGAACCTTATCAATAAAATTGTCAAACTGTTTTCCTTTGGAGAGGCTTTATCCCAGAAATGCCTGCAGTGATACCCATGTGTGTAATACATTTCTACCAGCACCTGAATGTTTATGTAACATTTCAGTAGGCATCCCTTATTCATCATCCCTTTTCTTGCTTTCTTTTCAGTTTGCAAGTAGGAGACGTGATTTAGGGTCTATATGGCATGCTGGGAGTCAGCTGGTTTATATATAAAATTAATCTGAATGTCTGTTTCACAGAAGCAGCATGAAATTTGCTGATGCCCACCTTGCACATCAAGATCCCCAGTGACTTTCTAACACCTACCAATACATGGAATGGTATGAAAGAAACAAAGTTAACTATGCATCTGTCTATTTTCTCCCCCATTCTAAAAGGGGGGTGTGTGGGGGGGAAATGTCTTCATGATGATGATTGTCTCTGAGGAGAGTGCTCTGCATCACTCCAGTGAATCACCGAAACACGGACCTGAAACCGTCAGCAGCAGAGGGGATACATTTCCTCCTTCCATTGAACAAGGAGCAGGCTGCACATTACAGAGTTACAACATGAGGAATGACTCAGGAAAAGACCACTGAATGACTTTTACCTGCACATTTTACTCCCTGAGCAATGAGGCCCCACATGAAGTTGGCACAGTATTCACACCAGTGTGGGCCCCTGAACGTGTGCACCTGGAAGACAGTAGCAGAAAGGAAAATTACTGAAAATGACCCAATCATTTCAGAGACATCAGTATCAATGCATGTAAACACTGCAGAATTCCTCTTCTTCCAAGGTACCACATGCAGCTTCTGGAAGTTTCCCTTTATCGTGGCAGAAAAGGAAGAAAGGAACGAAGAAAGATCTAACAAGCAAGACTCTTGCAAATGCGTGGAAAACTGGAGTCCTTCAATCCCAAGCAGCAGAACTGCATCTGTGGAGGTCTGCTCCAAGACCAGGTCAAAGAAGCAGGCACAGCCCTTCTCCCACCTCTTGGCATCCCTCTGTCTAAGCAAGAGTCTGGCTACAAGGCAAAGCTTTTGCAGTAATTGTGCAAGAGTTCACTTTTTAACTTCAAATGCCTTCTGCTACGGCTGCCCCTTCATTAGGCTCTGTGTGGAATGGGTAGGGGGCTGAAAGATTTCACCTCACATGGAAGGAGTCCTACCAGGCAAAAATACCAGTGCCACACAGAAATACGGTAAATTTGCCCAGAGACTTTCCAGTTTAGAATAACTCCAATAGGAAATTAATTTTCTTCAGACTAATGCTACATATTGAAAACCCAAAATCCAAAATGAAAAAAAAAAAGAATCCACTGAACCAGGAGAAAATTCAAAGCTAAAGAAGAAAAAAACCCCAAAGCTGCTTTCATTCCTGGCTCACATGCTTGTTACAAATCCTGCAGCCACCATTAACTGCTTCTGATTTTTTTCTGATAAAGGTCCTGCTGTAGGAAACCACAGGATTCTTTACAGAGAAAATCATTACTTCCTTAGCCAGAGTAAAAGGCTTTGAGCCGCTACTTAGAATAGACAGGCTGAAAATAAAATTAGTAGCTGGTGATCATAAAGAAATGAAATTTGCAGTGAAATACAGCAAAAATACTTTAGGCTGAAGTCACTTGGTACCTCAGAGTTACTGAGCGGGTATGGGAGCAGGAAGTAACCTCACTTGTGTGCAGTGCCCAGGTGGAGCAGTGTGAAGCAGGACAGGGAAGAAGCTGGAGGAAATGTTTGTTCCTGACATCTGCACACAGCTCTAGCTGTGAACACTGAAAGGCAAAGTGGCCTGACTGAGGTGGAAGAAGTCCCCCATACCACTGATGTAAGAGGCAGCTGGATCCAGCTGACACCCCCACAAGTGACAACACAGAGCAGCACGGGCAATTCAGACCACAGTTCAGTTCTGGCCAAAGGAAGGTCTGCAGTCTTCTGGGCTTTTGGTGCCCTTGGAGCAGCAGTGGGATTGCTGAGAGTCTTCAAAGTTACTCCTGAATTCACCAAATAATTCACATGCACATCTGTGCTAAGTGAGGCCCCTGACTGCCTGTCCCCAGCCCTGCTGGTCCCCAGCCATCCCACACACCTCCAGAAGGTGAGATGTGCTCCACCAGGCCTCTTCGCCCTGCAGCTCTGGCCAGCTTCCACAAAACAAACCATGACAAGACTTTCAGCAGCTGTACTCTCCACCTTCTTTTTTCCTCTCGCCACAAAGAGATTTTTCACACCATTCAGTCCGTTACCCACCTGCACTACCCACATCCTTTTTTGACTTTCTTCCTCAGCCTGGTGGTTTTTATCCAGGTTTTTGGCAGTGTTCCCTTCCCAGAATAAGAACATTCTAGTATCCTCAAGCAAAGCATTGTGCTTTAATGCCTGCAGGACTAAGAGAACTTTTTCAGGGGAAAAAAGGTATCATTTCAGTCACAATCTTTTTTTTTTTAGGTCAAATTTCCCCTGAAACATACTTCTCTAAAATATTTCTCAAAAATCCTGTCAAAGAAAATTGAAACAAAATTGACATTTCAAAAGTCTGGACAATAAAGAATTTCTTTTCACAGTATTTTTCAATTTTGTAAGTTTTTTTGGTTTTAGTATCTCTGCACAAAGGAAGAGAATTTTGTTTTGTTCCTTAAAATGCCGACTGACACATTATTAGCTCTTTCTAAATAAAAAGAATGATGCTATCCTACTTTGTGTCTCTGTGGTTACTGATTTCAATTCATCAAACATCAAATCACTGAATGTGCTTTTTGCTGAGGCATTTCTAATGCTGTCCTTAGGTGCTGGAGTCCCAGCTTGGCTTCTCCAGCCCCATCCCCAGTGCTGAAAACCTCTCTAAACCTCAGATGTCTGATCTCTAACCGGCTGTTTTATCAGTGAACATTCTTCCTTCTTGGCACCTTGCTCCCCCACCATGGTCTGCATGTTTCCATCTCCTCCTGATTCTCCTTAGAAACTCTTCTGCAGGGTCTATCACATCCCAAATCTGTCGCTCCAACCTTTTGCCTCCATTTTTAGTATTATGAACTCTTTTAATGAGCTCGGTTTCTTACATGTAGTAAGTATGATTCACCTAGATTCTACTTCCCCTGGTATCACCCTGGCTCTCAGCCGGCTCCTCAGAAGAGTTTACATGACTCATCATCAGCCTAAAACCGACAAGGACAAGGTGGACTCTCCTCTTCCCTCCCAACACTGCATGTGCTGTCACCCTTCCCAACACCAGGACTGCCTCTGCCCTTCAGAACCCCTGCCTCAGCAGCACTAGCACTGCTGTCTCACCCCATGCAGCCAGGCTTCATCCAAATACTGAAATGCCTTTCCATATCACCAGCTGGATTTACCCAGAGCCTGCTCTGCTTTATGCTGCCCCATCCAAATTACTATTTCTAATCCATTATTCTGATTGCAAACTCAAAACAGATTAAAAGGTGAGGGTAGGTTTTCCCATGTCCCATGATGCTCTCTCAGCCTTGGTTCATCCTTTATATGAGATGTGAGGTTCTCTGGCAATATTAAACAGGAATGGGAGGTTCTCTGGCAATATTAAACAGGAGGCCCAAAGGCCACAATGTCCTTCCAGCCCTGGTGTACACAGCAGGACAAGATCGGCTCTGAAGCCTCTGTTCCTGGGGATTTCTCAGCAGTGCTGTCTTTCCCCAGAGCTCAGCGGTGCCAGAGCATCAATACTCCCACTTCTACGGAGTGGTATCGGACTCCTAACCCCGCACTGGTCCGCATACACATCCTCTCTGGGAATTAAATCAGAAACAGTGAGCGATGCCAGAAAATACTGAAAAATTAGTCTTCTGAGGTAGCTCAGAACAGCCTCTAATCTTAGTTAGAGGATGGGTGGGGTCTGGCAGCTAAAAAGAAACACCACCTTAGCATCCCTTTGCTAGTTCAAGAGCCAGCATCTGCAAACAATACTGCATTTATCATAACTCTGTTTAATACAGCATTCTTATTTTCATATTTAATTCTCCATTCTAAAAACCTGCCAAGAAACTTCTCTGTTTTCAAAACTAAAAGATGCTTTCCAGAAAAAATTCTAAAAACACACCCAGCAGAGTCCCAGAGATCCTGACTTCAATTACAAGGGGTTTCTTTCCCCTTGTAAAAAAGAGCATCTGCCATATGCAGATTTTACTGTCTTATAAAATGTGAGAGAGCAGGATTGCCAGCTGTGGCTTTACATCTCCCAATCCCTCCATTCTCACTCCCACCCAAAAATCTTCTTTTCTCTCTTTCCAAATGGGAGCAATTTTTTAAAAGAATCTGGAAAATTAGTGTAGGGAAGACCAAATTAAACTGGTTTTAATCTATGTTTTGTAAAATTCTGGGAGAAGAAAATAAATTTAAAAGAAAAGTCTAGAGAATTTTCAAGGAAAATATCTGCTTCAGAAACAATATAAAATACTATTACTAAGCTGTCTTGCAAGTCTGAGGTAAGAGGAGAGTCTCATGTTAGGTTTACACCCTAGGCATTTCTATTTTGAACTCTCCTGAACTATCAACAAAGCATAATAAACATTTAACTACTGTGAATGATATAGGAGAAGTTCTTACTCAGGCTTAAAAGATATTTTCTTAGACACAAAGAAAAATAACTTAATTCTTGTGATTAACAACTCTGAGTGTTAGAAAATTTCACTTATTTTTGTTTTGCATTTAATTAAATTTTTTTTAGAAAAGACAAAATTTTAGGAGAACCAAATAAAAAATGACCCAGTGCTGACAGAAGATTATAAGAAAAGCTGTGAAGTCCTCAAGCAGATCTCTCCCCATTATTTCTCAGGCTCTATAAAGGTCACTGTTGAAATTAGTCACCCGTGCATCTTGTTACTCCACTTATTTTTTATGCTTTTGGTTTTTCCAAGGCAGTTATTCAGCTATCCCTGATTGCTACCTGAAGGCCAGGAATGAGCCAGCAGATAATTTGTATTCTTAACTGGGAGACTTACATTTTGTCACTTGTCAAGGCAGGGAGAAAGAGAATGAGAATATACCAGTGAGATGCTGTGCAAACATGAGGGAAGATGGTGAATCAAAAGAGCTTTAGCAAAGCCACTGACAGGTAGAAAGCAGGGCTGGATTTGAAAAACTATGGTTATAGAAAACTAACACTGAGCACATAAAACAGAAGTGTTTGGGACAGTATACAAAAAAGGCTTCCTTTGTTGAGAGACTGCTGCCATGGTCTCACTGAACTCGTTTCATCAGACCCTGCTCTGTACAGAGCCTCTTCCACAGCCCTCCACACCAAACTGCTGGTCAGAGTAATGGGGTCTGGGAAATCCAGACATTACCATCTGTTGTGGGATGGGATACATCACCTTGAAAAAGGATGGGAAAAAATACTGCTGATCTATACACTTGGGCTAGCAGAGCCTTGCACTTTAGGCAGAAGCCTCGTCAGTGCTCAGAGAGGAGACCAAGTCCACCAGGGACTGAACACGTGGCACACACCCAGCATCTGCACCACATGGTACTCCAGAGGTTCAGGTCTGCTGGCTATACAGTCCTTCAAACAAATTCCCAAGGATGATGAGACTGCTGATGGAGACTGTCAGCTCAGTGGTCCTAACCGATTTACAATTCCATCAGCTGAATTCTGCCTATTGGGGCTTTACCAAGCTTTTAATTGAATATGGGAGACATTGTAAATCTCAATTAAAACAATGAAC